TCATAAAAAATAGGAGAAAGAAAGAAAAGACCGAAATGGATGTCAGAAGAGAGTCTGAAACTTGCCCTTGAGCAAAGAGTAGCTAAAGCAAATGGAAGAAATGACAGGATAAAAGAGCCGAACAGAAGATTTCAAAGAGCAGCTCGAGCAGACAAAGCCAATTACTATAGTGAAATGTGCAAAGACCTGGAGTTAGAAAAACAAAAGGGAAGAACGCACTCAGCATTCCTCAAGCTGAAAGAAGTGAGGAAAAAATTTAAGCCTCGAGTTGCAATATTGAAAGATTCTATGGGCAAAATATTGAATGATGCAGGAAGCATCAAAAGAAGATGGAAGGAATATGCAGAGTCACTGTACCAAAAAGAACTGGTAGATCTTCATCCATTTCAGGAAGTGGCATATGTTCAAGAACCAATGGTATTGAAGGAAGCAGTCGAAGCTGCAGTAAAAGAATTGGCGAACAGCACTACTTCAGGAATTGACTGAATACCCATTGAGATGTTTCAACAAACAGATGCTGGAGGCACTCACTCAGTTATGCTAAGAGATTTGGAAGAGAGCTACCTGGCAAACTGACTGGAAGAGATCCATATTTGTACCCATTCCAAAGAAAGGTGATCCCACAGGATGTGGAAATTATCAAACAATATCATTAATATCACGTGCAAGTAAAATCTTACTGAAGATAATTCAAAAACGGTTGCAGCAGTATATTGACAGACAACTTCCAGAAATGTAAGCTGGATTCAGAAGAGGACGTGGAATGAGGAATATCATTGCTGATGTCAGATGAATCTTGGCTCAAAGCAAAAAATACCAGAAAGATGTTTACTTGTGTTTTATTGACTATGCAAAAACATTTGATTGTGTGGATCATAACAAATTGTGGATAACATTGAGAGGAATTGGAATCCTAGAACACTAAACTTACTCATGAGGAATCCACATAGACCAGGAGGCTGTCGTTTGAACAGAAAAAGGGAACACTACATGGTTTAAAATCAAGAAGGGAGTGCATCTGGGTTGTATCCTTTCACCATACTTATTCAATATGTATGCTGAGCAAATAATCTGAGAACCTGGACTGTATGAAGAAGAACGTGGCATTAGGATTGGAGGAAGAATCATTAACAACCTGTGATATGCTGACAACACAACTTTGCTTGCTGAAAATGAGGACTTACTGATGAAGATTGAATAATACAGTCTGCAGTATGAATTACATGTCAATATAAAGAAAACAAAAATCCTCACTACTGGTCCTCTAAGCAACATTATGGTAAATGAGAAAAGATTGAAATTGTTGAAGACTTCACATTACTTGGTTCTATAATCGATGTCAATGGAAGCAGCAGTCAGGACATCAGTTGATGTTTAGCTCTGGGCAAAATGGCTGCAAAGGACCTCTTTGAAGTGCTGAAGAGCAAAGATGTCTCCTTGAGGAATAAGGTGTGTCTGACACCAGGCATGGTATTTTCAGTCACCTCATATGCATGTGAGAGCTGGACAGTGAATAAGGAAGACTGCAGAAGAGTTGATGCTTTTGAGCTGTGGTGTTGGTGAAGAGTGCTGAAAGTGCCATGGACTGCTAAAAGAACTAACAGGTCTGTCCTGGAGGAAGTGCAGACAGAATGCTCCTTGGAGGCGAGAATGGCCAGACTTTGTCTCACATACTTTGGTCATGTTCTCAGAAGGGATCATTCCCTGGAGAAGGATGTCATGCTTGCTAAGGTGAAGGGTCGACAAAAGAGGGGAAGGCCCTCAACGAGATGGATTGACACGGTTGCAGCGGCAATGGGCTCAAATATAGCAGGAATCATGAAGCTAGCTCAGGACCGGGCGGTGTTTCGTTCTGCTGTGCATAGGGTCCCTGAGTTGGAGATGACGGCAGCTAACAACAACAACAACATTTGTCATGTCATCAAGAAGGACCAGTCCCTGGAGGAGGATATCGTACTTGTTAAAGTAGAGGACCAGCAAAAAAGAGGAAGACCCTCCATGGGATGGGTTCACACAGTGACTGCAAAAATGGGCTCAAGCACAGCAACAATTGTGTGGATGGCTCAGGATTGAGCAATATTTCATTTTCTTGTATATAGGGTCACTATGAGTTGGAACTGAGTTGACGCCACCTCATAACAACAACAACAGTATTATAGTATTTTATGTTTTTGCTCTATATATGTTGTATTTGAAAACATTTGTCCCTCAAATCTTTCCTCTAAAAAGCTAATTTGATTATTAGTCATATCTATTGTGTTCTTGTTTCTAATTTATTTATTAAATTCTGCAGTGCTGTGGTTTTAGTTCTCACTTTGTCCTTAGCAATGTAGTTTCTTTTCATCTCATTCTGTTTTTGAGCTCTTGTTTTAGATTTATATTCTTAAGTGATTCTGTTGTGGGAAGCATTTATTGGGCAGAGTCTGTTTCTGTTTTGGTTATGTTTTCTTCCAGACTGAATTCTGTCTCTTTTTTTTCCTTTCTCTTTGCATGTATTTTAATAAACATAATGATATTTCTTTTTTTTTTTTTAATTGTGATTTGGGTGAAAGTTTACAGTGCAAATTCACTTTCCATACAGCAGTTCACATACACTTTGTCTCATGACATTGACTACAATTTACCACAATGCAACACCTCTCCTCCCACTTTCTCTCCATAGTTACCTCTTCCTTGTGTCCTTCCCTCCATGCACTCCTGCCCTATGAGCTGTCTCCCTGTGCATACACAGCACTTCTATTCTCCCATGACTGATTTCTCCAAAGAGTGTATTTGCCTAGTGTAAATGTTCACCTCCTATGCCTGTCTTTGGTTTGGGTGGAAGCCACAGGAGTGGGTTCAGTTGCAGACCTGAAGGGCAGCTAGGGGCCAGAGTCTCAATGGTTCCATCAGGCTTTATATCAGACCTTCAAAGCTGTTCCTTTCCCCCCCCCCCCAAATAATTTTGAGTTTTGTTCCACATTGTTCTCTACTCTAGTAATGATATTTCTTGATATCTTGTTCATTATTAATATGTACAAGTCTGTTCAGATCTGTTTACTCTGATAATATAAGAGTTAATTCTCTTTAACACCTTTAACACAACTACTAACTACATTAGAGTAACTCCAGTTTAATATTTGAGGGCTCTGTGTTGTGTTCCTCACAACTTCTCTCTAGCCTGAGGCGTGAGAATATTGGAATAATATAGCTCTACTAGGGCTGAGGTCCTTGCTTGGGGATCTGGACTCTTTATCTCTCTTCTCAGATCCTGTTACTGATCTTACATATCAGGGTCTACTTAACAAACTAGGCCTATATCCTAGGTGGGTTTGACTTACACTGTGTGCTCTGTTAAATTGCAATTCCTGGTGTTCCTGTTACTAAGGTTATTTAAAGGCTTTTTCTTTTTTTAATATTATTTTGTTGTGTTTTTGGTGAAAGTTTACACAATCAGGCTCCCATTTGACAATTTCTACACAGATTGTTCAGTGACATTAGTTACATTTTCCACAATGTGTCAAGATTCTCTTTAATTGCATTCTGGTTGTTCTGTTTCCATTGCTGTAGTACTTTTCTTTGCTTTAGAGCGATTGTTAACCTTTTGGTCTCATATAGATGGTTTTTTAGTAGAGCACCATTCTTATGGGTAATACCCTTTTCTGTGTGTGTCAAGTATTTCGCTAAAACGTTGTTCAGTGTTTAAAGAGTATTACAGGGTGATAGTCTCAGGGAGTCTAAAGTGGTTCACTAAATCTGGATTTTCAAAGAATTTGAGTTCTGTAGTTTTCTCCCATTCTATCAGGGTCTGTCTGCTGTGGTTCTGATCAGAACGGCAGTAGTGAGCATCATCTAGTCATTATGGTCTCAGGGTAGATGAGAGTGTGGCGTGTGTAGGCCATTAATCTGTAGGCCAGTTTCTCCTCTGAGACTTTGGTTTCCTTTTTTCTTTTTTGTTCCTAACGAATAGAGACCAATAGTTGTATCTTAGATGGCAGCAAAAGCTTTTAAAACCCCAGACGTTACTCACCTGACTAGGATGCAGAACATGAATTTTGTGATGCCAAATGACTGAGCTGTCCCATAAGAATAAGGTCCTACGTAAGGTTTTTTTCTTTTAATGGTTTTGTTCCTTGATTTTTCTCAGTGCTGCTTCTCATTTCTTCATTCTACCTCTCTCCATATTGTTAGTTATTAGTGAGAATTCTCCTGCAACGTTTCTTCTGAGCTACAGAGACAGGGCTAGTAGACAGTCTCTTGCGAGGATATATGGAACCTTTGTGCAAATTGGAAAATAATGCTGCTCCTTCCCCTGGCAGTGGACAGGGCTGAAAGCTTGGCAAATGGAAACAGGTTGATTTACATCCTAAGTTCATCTCCTCAGCTAGGTACCCTTGAATGGTGTACAACTTACCCAGTCATACTCAAGGCCCTTTTAGGACATAGTCTCATCCCACCAGAATCTTTAGTTTCTTGGTTTTTCTATAATTTTTAAAAGTTTATGACATAATTATATATATTCTTTGGTATTAGGTTGTAAGTATTGAATTTTTGGTTATTTTATATTTTTTCAGTTTGTTTGCTAATTGTGATTCTTACTTTGAGATCTTTATTTGGACATTCTCATATATGTGTTTTCAACTTGAATATTGTGAAACATGTTTTTAAAAACCTTCTTTTTAATTTTTTTTTATTGTGATAGACATATATACAACAAAACATATACTATTTCAATAGTTTTTAGATGTACAATTCACTGACATGAACTACATGCATCATGTTGTACAATCATCACCACTATCCATTTCCAAATTTTTCTGTCACTCTGACAACAGTCTTTGTTAGATTTAAGGAAAGTATATTCTTCTGTAGCAATAAGAAAAATGACATTCAGTAGTATGGGAAATAAACATTGTTTTAGGATGAGTTTTTATTTCTTGATTGTTTGATGTTTCTTACTTTTATGGAAATGTTGTCTTTTCAGTATTATTTTCAAATTTTGTCTTTTAAACATTACTTAGGAGTATCTGATTTTAATCTTCGTGTTGCCTTGCAAACACTTTTGAAAGAGTACTGTGAGGTGTCCAAATCTTCCAAAGAGAACAAGTTTTGTAGTTTTCTGCAGACATCTAAGGTTCGACCTCGGAAGAAAGCAAGAAAGTACCTGTATGCAGTAGGTGAGAACCTTTTTAAAAGTAATAGAAATCATCTTTATATTCAAGATCAAACCTTTTTAATATTTTGTTATTATACATGTTAGAATATGGAGGTGTGCCAAATAGGCATATTTAATTTCACATGCAGACTACAGATTTATAAATTGTTTTTATAAATTATGGTGAACACATGTAAAAATAACTACTTAACTGATATTTATTATTCTATGACCTAAATCTCTGGCTTTTTATTCAGTTATTGTCTAAGAGCTGACTAAAGATACACTGCTTTAAAAGTTAAAAATTTGAATTCTAGTGAAAAATAAATTCAAATTTTATGAACTGTTCACAATGTTATTCATATATATGTGTGTATCAGCTCTAAAGCAAGTATTTTTTAATATGAAGTATTTATCTGTTCAGATGTTACTAGAATTTCCGTGTTTAGCAGTAAGGGATTTGCTTTTTTTCCTTTTAGGTGGATATACTCGATTGCAGGGGGGTCGCTGGAGTGACAGCAGAGCCCTCAGCTGTGTGGAACGTTTTGACACCTTTAGCCAGTACTGGACCACTGTATCTTCACTTCATCAGGCTCGATGTGGGCTGGGCGTAGCAGTCCTGGGAGGGATGGTCTATGCTATTGGAGGTAATAATAAAAATGTCTTATTTCCCTTATTTGTCTCAGGACATGGTTATCTTCTCAGGACTCAATGCACTTGACATTGGAATCATTTAGTATTTCAGTATTTAGCTTTGTAGTATTTGCTGACTGATTCTTGTCTGCCTAGGTGATTGTGCTCCTATAAAAAACCATTTTAAAACTTGTTTTTAATCTGGCATCTGGGGTGTGTGTGTGTGTGTGTGTTGTGTGTGTTGTGTGTGTATTATATATGTGTGCTGTGTTGAGGGTCCCCAAGGATACCCCTAGTTTGGTGATTTTCTAGAAGGACTTACAGGACTTAGCATTTAGTTAGTTGTATTTACAGCTAGGATTTAGTATAATGAAAAGATACAAAACAAAACCAACAAATGGAAAAGGCACATGATGTGAAATTTGGAGGAAACCAATTGAAAGCTTCCAAGAGTCCTTTCCCAGTGAAGGCACACAGGTCAAGCTACATTCCTTCCGCAAAGAGTTGTGACAACATGTGAGACGTGTTGTTTACAAGTAAAGTGACTGACTTGTATCTAAGGTTATTACGTGGAGCTGGTCATGTAGACATCCACTTTCTGGTACTTACCAAAATTCCAGTCTCTCAAAAGGAAAGCAGGTGTTCAGCATAACCACATTGTTTGTACACACAGTTTAGGGACAATGAGCAACTCTTAACCACGTGTGGAAATTTTTGTATCAGTATAGGGGACTGTTCACCAGCCAAGTTCCCAGACTACAGACAGAGGATAGGCAGTTCAGACCTACTCTGTTAATTCTTTTGCATAGTAGGAATTTTGTATACCTTTAGGATTCTAGTTTTTTATAAAGTTATATGAGCAAAATTATGTTAATCTGTTCTTCTGTTTCATCTTTCACTTTCTATTAAACTTTTTATCGTGATTTGAGTGAAAGTTTACAGAGCAAATTGGTTTTCCATTTCACAACTGATACACATTTTGTTTTGTGACATTATTTGCAATCCCCACAGTGTCACAGCACTTTTCCTACTTCCTCTCATGTTTACCATTTCCATTTATCCTTCTTTCCTATTCCTTCCTGCCTTTTGAGCTTTATCTCAGGGCAAAGGCTGCCCTTTGATCTCCTGTAGTTGATTGTTCGAATGACTGAATTCCTCCCTGGTGTTATTGTTCACCTTATAGGCCTGTCTGTTGTTTGGCTCAAAGTTGAGCCACGGGGGTGAGTTCACTTCTAGGCTTCAAGGGTGTCTAAGGATTACAGTCTCAGGGGTTCCACCAGTCTCTATCAGACTAGCAAGCCTAGTCTTTTTTATGATTTTGAGGTTTTTTTCCACATTTTTCTCCCACTCTATCCAGGGCCTCCTATTGTGATCTGTTTTGCTTACCTAGTGCTGCTCTAACAGAAATTTACCACAAATGGAATGGCTTAACAAACAGGAATTTATTCTCTTAAAGTTTTGGAGGTTAGAAGTCCGAGTTCCAGGTGCCGGGCTCTAGGGGCTGAGTGAAAACCCCTCGACCTTGGGCTTCAGCTCTGCCTCTTGTTCTGGCCCACTGAAGCTAGAGGCTTTTCTTCACTCAACTGCTGGCTGCTGAGGTTGACAAGCCCAAGGTCAACAAGTGAAAAGGCACAGCCCCGATATTACCAAACCCACAGCAGGCCATTGCTTCAAGTCCATTAAAAGTCCCAAGAGCGGCAGAGCATGGCAAGCTGCTGAATGAAGACTCAGCTACATGGAGGGGTCAAGTGTGCCAAAAAGCTCAAGACCTTCCTCAAAGCTGCTGCTTATATACTGGAAGCGGACCACATCTGTAAAGCAGCTACTCTACTGCTCCAGTAGATTCCACTGTGGAATTAATTGCCAATCTCACCATGGGGAATAACTATATCCAGCTGCCCAGCCACTCAACCAGGCCCAGCCAAGTTGACAACAACCTTAACTACCACATGATCCCTTTTAGAGCAGTCAGCATCGGTAGTCGGACACCATTTAGTTCTTATTGTCTCAGAGTCATGGAAGCTGGAGTTTGTGTGGTCCATTAGTTCTTTGGACTAATTGTTTCTATGCATCTTTGATTTTCTTCACTCTTCTTTGCTCCAGATGGGGAGAGACCTATAGTTGTACCTTAGATGGCTATCATCCTTCACTCTCTTTATGGTATTTTTTCATAAACGATGTTTTTAATGTAATTAAATCTATTGTTTACTCTTTTTATGGTTAGTATTTCTTTTATCTTAAGACATCCTTCCCTACTCCAAAGTCATTAGGATATATACCTGTATTATTTTATAAAATTTTACAGTTTTGCCATTTACACTTATATGCAATCCACCTGGAATTGAGTTTTTAGGAACAGTATGAAATAGGGATGTGGCACTGGTGGTTCACTAGTGGAATTCTCATCTTCCGTGCAAAAGACCTGGGTTTGATTTCTGGCCAGTGCACCTCATGTGCTGCCACCACTGTCCCTCAGTGGAGGCCTACCTGTGACTATGGTGCTAACAGGTTTCAGTGGAATTTCCAGACTAAGGTGGATTAGGAAGAAAGGACTGATGATCTACTTCCGAAAATCAGCCACTGAAAATCCCTTGGATCACAGTAATTTAGTCTGCAGCCAGTTATGGTGATAACATAGGACCACATAGCACGTTGTGTTGCATGTGGAGTTGCCATGAGTCAGAGCTGACTCAGTGGCAGCTAATTACAATAACAAAATAGAGAACCAGTTTCCTCTTCCCTCTCTTTTTATATAACCAATTAAAAACACTAATAAAAACCCATCAGAAGGAAGATGGGGCAGTCTACTTGAGTAGTTATACTACCTCGGGAACCCAAGGAGGGGTCGCTATGAGTCGGGTGCAACTCGATGACACATAACAACAGCAACAACAATAAAAACCCAAGCTCACTGCCATCAAGTTGATTCTAACCTATACCAACCCCTTCTTGGGTTTCTGAGGTGGTATCTCTATGGAAATAGGTTGCCCAGTCTTCCTTCCAAGGAGTGTCTGGTGGGTTTGAACCACCAGCCTTCTGGTTAGCAATCAGATGCCTTAGGCACTACACCACCAGAGCTCCCTATAACCAATTGTGTTGTTGTTGTTGTTATATGCCGTTGAGTAGGACCTGACTCATAGCAACTCCTCCTTGGGTTTCTGAGGCAATATCACTATGGAAGTAGATTGCCCCATCTTCCTTCCGAGGAGTGGCTGGTGGGTTTGAACCGCCAGCCCTCTGGTTAGCAGTCAAGTGCCTTAGGCACTACGCTACCAGAGCTCCCCTATAACCAATTATCGCAGCATGAAAGACTTTTGTTTCCTTACTGCTCTGTAGTGCCATCTCTGCCATATATCAAGCAATCATATCTGTGGATTTGTTCCTAGAATTTCTTTTCTGTTCCAGTGGTATCTTTATATCTCTATTCTAATTATTATAGCTTTATTACAACTCTTGATGTCTGATAAGACACTTTCTCTCTCTTTATTATTCTTTTCTCAAGGTGTTTGGATATTCTGTCTAGGCCCTTTGCATTTGTATATAAATTTTAGAATCAATTTATCAAATCCATCAAACTGTGAAATTATCACTGAGATTGCAATGAATATTGGGGATAATTATCATCTTTACAATATTGACTCTTCTTATCCATGAACATGATACATGTATTCATTTATTTAGATATTCCTTAATTTAAAAATTGATAAAAAATGTAAACATTTTATCCATAGAGGTCATGTTTTACCCATCGAACAATCTTTGGTTAGATTTACTCCTAGAAATTTCATATTCTGTTTGTTGCTGGATAAGAATTACATTAAACTCAAATACATTAGGGCCAGCTACCCAAACTAATATAAGAAAAAATGTAGAAGTGTTAAAAGGCAAATTGCATCATCAAAAATGGCATGGATTTTTTTGTTGGTTTTATTAGATAATAGGAAAATTGAGCCTTTGCCTTATAAGTGGCCTTTAATAAATGATAGTGCTATGGATTCAAAATAATATTTGCTGCCAAAAGAGGTCTGGTGGTGAAATGGTTAAAACATTTGGCTGCTAACCAAAAAGATGACAGTTTGAACCCCCCCAGCTGCTCCATGGAGAAAGATAAGGTAGTCTGCAGCCATAAAACTTTACAGCCTTGGAAACTACAGGAGGCAGTTCTTCTCTGTTCTAGGTGACTATGAGTTGGAATCAACTCGATATCAGTAGGTTTGGTTTGTTTTTGGGCCAAAGGAATTTTAACGAATAGGGTATGGTTAAATTTCTGACGATAGGGAATGCTACTGAATATTTTATTATGGTTTTAGTCTGTTAGCATTACTAAACTTCACATGTATCTCTTTTAACTCAGGTGAAAAGGATTCAATGATTTTTGACTGCACTGAATGCTATGATCCAGTTACTAAACAGTGGACAACTGTAGCTTCAATGAATCACCCCCGCTGTGGCTTGGGAGTCTGTGTGTGTTATGGGGCTATCTATGCTTTGGGTAATTATGCTGTTCACTTTAAGGATATCTAATAGTAATTAAATTCTGATTACTTTAGAGATATTCCTTCCCTCTCATAAGAAACTTACCTTTTCAGCTCTGTAAATTCTTATTCTCAAAGGTGAATATTTTCAAGAATGGCATTTTTAGAAGATGTGTGATGTTCAGTGAAGAGGAGATGTCAGTGAAGCACTTTACTTGGCCAGTTAAATCTCATGATTTTAATTAAGTATATAATATTTCTACTACTCTGTGTGGTGGCCTAATTTTATCTAATATAATAAAGCATATATCAAAAACTTAGACACCCAAAGGAAATTTCTGTCCAATATTATTGTCATTATTGCAGATTTAGTGAATGATCTTGAGCAAATTATTGATCTTTGATTATTTGTATAACAAATGTTATAGTCAGGGTTTTTCCTAGGGAAACTTGTAAGTTGACTTGGCCCTCAGCCTCTATTTTCCCCTTGTCATTCTTTCTTCAACTCAATATATGGAACCCAGTGTCTTCCCCATATCAAACATATTGTGGAAAAGATACTAATCACCCCAATGTGAATTTAATCCATTGTGTTTTATCACTCTCTAAGTATGCCTCTAATTATAGGAAAGAATGTTTTCTATTTCAGGAATTGGAGCAAGTTAAGGAAATACTATTTTTGAAGATGAAAGCCTTTTTTGTTGTCAGGTGCTGTTGAGTTGGTTCCAGCTCATATTGAGCCTATGTACACAAGGTCTCTGGGTGGTGCAGACATCTGCATTCGGCTAGTAACTCACAGGTTATCTGCTGGAACCCACCTAGCATCATTGTGGAAGATCCAGGCCTGGCAATTGGCTTCCGTAAGATTACAGTCTACTTGGCTCCGGAGCCTATGGAGTCTCTCCAAATGAATACATGAACAAATGCCTCAGCGATCCTGTGTACAACAGAATGAAACATTGTGTGGTCCTGTGCCATCCTTGCAATGGTTATTATGGTTGAGCCCATTGTTGTAGCCACTGTCTGTCCATCTTGTTGAGGGTCTCCCTTTTTTTCACTGACCCTCCACTTTACCAAGCATGATATCCTTCTCCAGGGAATGACTCCTTCTGATAACATGACCAAAGTACAAAAGACAAAGTCTTGCAATCCTCCCTTCTAAAGAGCGTTCCAGCTATACTTCTTCAAAGTCTGACTTGTTTGTTCTTCAGGCAGTCTATGGTATACTCAATAGTCTTCACCAAAACCATAATTCAAATGTATCAGTTTTTCTTTGGTCTTCCTTATTTTTTGTCCAGCTTTCACATGCATATGAGGTAATTGAAAATACCATGGCTTCAGATGTTCCTTAGTCTTCAAAGTGACATCTTTGTTCTTTAACAATTTAAAACATCTTTTGCAGCAGATTTGCAAGTGCAATATGTCTGATTTCTTGATCACTGCTTCCATAGTACTGATTATGGATCCAAGTAAAATGAAATCCTTGACAACTTCAGTCCATTTATTGTAATTTTGCTTATTGGTCCAGTTGTGAGGACTATTTGTTTTTTTTATGTTGAAGCATAGTCCATACTGAAAGTTGTAGTCTTTGATATTCATCAGTTACTGCTTCAAGTTCTCTTCGGTTTCAGCAAGCAAAATTGTGTCATCTACATATCACAGATTATCAGTGAATCTTGCTCCAATCCTAATGTCACATTCTTCTTCATGAAGTCTAGCTTCTCGGATTTTTTGCTTAGCATACAGATTTAGTAAGTATGGTGAAAGGATAGAACGCTGATGCACATCTTTACTGATTTGAAACCATGAAGTATTCTCTTGTTCTGTTTGAATGACTGTGTCCTGGTCTATGTTGTTGTTGTTGTTGTTAAGTGCCGTCGAGTCGTTTCCGACTCATAGCGACCCCATGCACAGCAAAATGAAACACTGCCCGATCCCGCACCAGCCCCACAATCCCTGCTATACTTGAGCCCATCATTGCAGGTCTATGTACAGCTTCCTTATATGCACAATTAAGTGCTCTGGAACTCCCATTCTTCACAATGTTATCCATAATTTGTTGTGATCCATACAGTCTAATGCCTTTGCATAGCCAATAAAACCCAGGTAAACATCTTTCTAGTACTCTCTGCTTTCAGCCAAGATCCCTCTTACAGCAGCAGCGATATCCCTTGTTCCATGTCCTCGTCTAAATTCACCTTGAATTTCTGGCAGCTCCCTGTCTATATACTGCTGCAACCATTTTGTAATTTAACACAATTTTACTTGTGTGTGGTATTAATATCATTATATGTGTTTGTGTGTGTGTGTGTATTCCAAATTTCTTAGCATAGACGAGTGAGCACTTCCAGCATTGTATCCATTTGTTGAAATATCTCCATGGGTATTCCATCAATTCCTGAAGCCTAGTTTTTCACCAGTTTTTTCATGCAGGTTAGACTTCTTCCTTCAATACTAAAGGCTCTTGATTCATATGCTACCTCCTGAAATGGTTGAATGTCAACCAATTCTTTTTGGTACAGTGACTGTGTATTCCTTCCATCTTCTTTTGATGGTCCCTTTTGATGGTTCAGTATTTTGCCCATATTGTAACTTGAGGCTTGAATTTTTTTTCTTCAGTTCTTTCAGCTTGAGAAATGTGGAGCATGTTCCTCCCTTTTGACTTTCTAACTCCAGGTCTTTTCATATTTCATTATACTACTTTGTCTTCTAAGGACCTCTGGTAGCATAGTGCCTAAGGCAATTGACTGCTAACCAGTAGGCTGGCGGTTCAAACCCACCAGCCACTCTTTGGAAGGAAGGTTGGGCAATCTACTTCCATAGTGATACTGCCTCGGAAACCCAAGGAGGGGTCGCTATGAGTTGGGTCCGACTCCACAGCACATAACAACAACAACTTTGTCTTCTTAAGCCTCCCTTTGAAATCTTTTCAGCTCTTTTTTTTTTAATATATATAGTAACTAATAGCTGCTATTATTGTATTGTTCCTGTAAACATCATCATCATCATCATCATTTTATTTATTTAAATTTTTGTTGTGATTTAGGTGAAAATTTACAGAGCAAATTCATTTTTTGTACAGTAGTTCTTACATGAAATCTTCTTTTCAGCTCTTTTATGTCATCATTTCTTCCATTTGCTTTAGTTACTTCCTGTTGAAGTTTCAGCGTCTCTTCTGACATCTGTTTTGGTCTTTTCTTTCTTTCTTGTCTTTTTAATGACTGTTCTGGTTACCTAGTGTTGCTCTGACAGGAATATACCACTACTGGAGTGGCCTTATCAAACAGGAGTTTATTCTCTTACAGTTTGGAAGGCTAGAAGTCCAAGTTCAAAGTGCCAGGCTCTAGGGGCTGGGTGAAAGCCCCTCGACCTTGGGCTTCAGCTCTGCCTCTTGTTCCTGACCCACTGAAGCTAGAAGCATCTCTTCACTCAGACAGCTACTGGCTGGTAAGGTTAACAAGTCCACGGTCTACAAATAAAATGGCACAGTCCCAGTGTTACCAAACCACATGGCAGGCCATTAATTTAAGTCCATTTTAAGTCCCAACATCGGCAGAACATGGCAGGCTGCTGAACAACGCAATGGCTACATGCAGGGTTCAAGCGTGCCATAAGCTGGAGACCATCCCAAAGCTGTTTCTTATATACGAGAAGCTGACCACATACCCAAAGCAGCTACTCAGCTGCTCCAGTAGATTCCACCATGGAGTTTATTACCAGTCTCACTATGCGGAATAACTACATTCAGCTGCCCAGCCACTCAACCAGGCCCAGCCAAGTTGACACACAAACTTAACTACCACAATGACTTTTTTCTTTCTTCATGTATGATGTACATGATGTCTTCCCACACCTCGTCTGGTCTTTGGACAGTGCATCAAATCTTTTCTTCAGATGGTCTCTAAACAAATGTGATATAATCAGAGTTGTATTTTGGTTCTTGTTGACTCATTTTTATTTTCTTCATCTTCAACTTAAACTTGCATATGAGCAATTGATGGTCTATTCCACACTCGGATCCTGGCCTTGTTCTGACTAATGATACTGAACTTCTCTATCGTCCCTTCCCACAGATACAGTCAATTTGATTCCTGTGTATTCCATCTAGTGAGAGGTGCACATGTGTCATTGCTGTTTATGTTGTTGAAAAAAAGTATTTGCAATGAATAAGTTGTTTGTCTTGCAAAATTCTGTCATGTGATCTCCAGCATCATTTCTGTCACCAAGGCCATATTTTCAAACTACCAATGCTTCTTTGTTTCCAGCTCGCACATTCCATTTACCAGTAATTGTCAATGCATCGCGATTACATGTTTGATCAATTTCAAACTGCAGAAGTTGGTAAATTCTTCAATTTCTTCATCTTTGGCTTCAGTGGTCAGTGCATAAATTTGAAGAATAGTTGTATTTGAGTAATAGTTGTACTAACTGGTCATCCTTCTTTGTGTATGGATATTATCCTATTACTGACAGCATTGTACTTCAGGCTAGATTTTGAAATGTTGCTTTTGACAATAAATGTGATGCCATTCCCCTTCCATTTGTCATTCGTGGCATAGCGGACCATATGATTATCTGATTCGGAATGGCCAATACTAGTCCATTTCAGCTCAGTAATGCCTAGGATATTGATTTTGTGTGTTCCATTTCATTTTTGACAACTAATATTCCTAGATTCATACTTTGTACATTCCATGTTCTGGTTTTTAATGGATGCTTTCAACTGTTTCTTCTTATTTTCAGTCATGCCATATCAGGAAATGATGATCCTGGAAGCTTTACTCCATCTGTGTCATTAAGATCTATCCAATTTTGAGAAGGCAGCTCTTCCCCATTAGTGTTTTGAGTGTTTTCCAACCTGAGGGGCTCATCTGGCATTGTATCAGACAAGGTTTCACTGCTATTCTTCAGGTTTTCAGTGGCCAGTTTTTACAGAAGTGAATCTGGCCACATTCTTCTTCCTAGTCTGTCTTAGTCTGGAAACTCCACTGAAATAGTCTGGAAGCTTCCAGCATCACTGCAACATGCAAGCCACCACAGTATAACAAACTTACAGATGATTGGTGGAGGCCTTTTTGGAGTCTATGAAATCACATTAAATTGGTAATATACTTTGACTAAGCTTAGAGTTGGTCTTGGTTAAGATAACCATTCTGAATATGCAGAAGTTGTTTCAAAAGGTAGTTTTGCAAAATAGTGTATTCCCTATGCTTTTTCCCCCCCTCTTTATCTCTAGTGAATACCAGATAGGGAGTTTAAAAGACCAAAATTCTACATATGGTTAAACTAGCTTTTCATGTGATCTTGGACAAATAACTTCTCTGGATGATGTGATATCTGTAATATGAGGTAGTTGGATTAGATGTTTTATAAGTTCTTTTTCAGAAATAAGGTTCTTTCATTCCAGAAATATACATTTTTCTGTTCTGTTTCAGGTGGATGGGTTGGAGCTGAGATAGGGAACACCATTGAACGATTTGATCCTGATGAAAATAAATGGGAAGTAGTGGGCAACATGGCTGTGTCACGCTATTACTTTGGGTGCTGCGAAATGCAAGGTAATTACTTATAAAATATTTTTATTCAAAATACATTTTTTAAAAACTATTTAAGCTTAAGACTTTCACAAAGTATAATTTAGGTTGCTACTGAATGATTGACACTAGCAGTGTAGAAGTTCTGCTTTTTAGCTCCTCTCATTGACCTTTATTCCTGTATTGCCAAAATAATCTATTTTTTCCAAAATAAACAAAACTAGAATTCACAAGTACCAACAGACAAAAATACCTAGCTAGCAAAGTAAGATAAGGAGCCCCGATGATGCAGTGGTTAAATGCTCAGCTGCTAACTGAATGTCAGCGGTTAAACCCACTAGCCACTCTGAAGGAGAAAGATGTGGCAATCTCCTTTCCTAAATATTTATGGCCTTGGAAATCCTATGGGGCAGTTCTCCTCTGTCTTACAGACTCACTATGAGTTAGAATTGACTCAACAGCAGTGAGTTTTGGTTTTAGGAAAGTAAGCATTTGAACTGGCATTCATTATCATTTTCTCTCCCATTCAGGCCTTAGTATTTCTAAGTAGGGAGAGAATATAAGAAACAATCTTCACAGACTGTTTCTTACAGGTTTCTTCAGTGTTTTTACAGTACACTGTGATTCTGTCCACATAGAATATAATCCTATAAGATTTTAAAAATTCTGTATATTACATTGGTATACAGACATTATTTTATCTACTACACCCTGAGAGTCTGTAGCATAAAAACCAAAAACCAAACTCACTGCTGTGGAGTCGAATCCGACTCATAACAACCCCTTCTTGGGTTTCTGAGGCAGTATCACTACGGAAGTAGATCGCCCAGTCTTCCTTAGGAGGAGTGGCTGGTGGGTTTGAGTCGCCAGTCTTCTGGTTAGCAGTCAGATGCCTTAGGCACTAACGCCACCAGAGCTCCCAGTCTGTAGTGTAGTACTGTCAAACAGAACCTAATTCTCTGCCCAGGGTTAGAGAACAGGTTTATGTGCACCTATGGAACAGGAAGCTGTCTGCCCATAGCTGTGGAATAGCTCAGCCTGCTCAGTAGCCAGCTCAGGTTCCTTTTATTTTGTGGGTGCCTTCTCTGATTTCCACTAGTATTTAAATGTTCAAATTACAGTATAGAACTTTATTATTTAATATTAAACTGTTCTCTAGTTGTTTTATATATATTATTTTGATCTTCCAATCTAAAAATCATAGAGAGGGATCTTGGAGATTATCTCTTTCAATTACTTCACTTATAGACTGGAAGCTGAAGATCAGGGAATTTTTGAGTTATCTTTACTCATAGCTGGTTACTGGAAAAGCTGGAACTATAACTCAGGTTTACTAACATTTAACCCAAGTTTTTTTTGTTTGTTTGTTTGTTTTACCTTATAACTTTGTAACTTCTTACTTTAGAGCATTGGAAGCAACACTAGACACTGGAAGATTATAGACTTTTAGAACAATTGTAGGAACTAATTGTAGATTAGTTTCAAATAACAAAAATAAGGAATTCCATGAATTATAATCTAGTAATTGATCTAGTACATTCTAGTAATTGATCCTTGTTGATATTGTTGTTAGGTGTTGTTGAGTCAGTTCTGACTTACAGCGACCAGGTAACCATTCTAACTAAATTAATAGCTACATTATTTTATGCCCATCTGATCAACAGGTAGACTGTCACCAAAAGTCCATGTGATTCCCACCAAATACATAAATTTTTTATGAGGGGAATCCCATTGCCTTCCCCTTTTTTAGCTGTGGGTAGAAGCAGTAGATTTGGAACCTAAATCACCAAGCAGAAAATGATGGGAAATTCTTGTCTGGATAAATTGTTTTGTCATAGCATCTGTAAGTTCTTTGAAAATTCAGTGCCATGTTAAATTCATACCCCTAATTCTTTGCAACATGTAAGATGTGATAAGCTAGACAGAAATTGATAAGCTAGACAGAAGTCTTAAATATTACATATGAGTGAAGTCTATACAACTTGATCAAAGTAAATGCAGACACTAAGAAGCACGTAAGAAAAAGGGACTTCAGTAAATGCTATAATACATATAATTTTGCAACTAAATAGTTGTAAATAGTTACAACTAAAAAATAGTTGTAATAGTTACAGCTAAACTATTTAGTTGTAAATAGTTATAATTAAAAAATATGTGTTTGGTTATATAAGTAGATATGTACACATATATAAGAAGGCATATTGAGTACATGAGCATGCATGTACAGATGTATTTGTAGGTATATGTATATATGTTTTTGTGTGTATTGCATATATATCCATATATATAATAAAGTACCTAAGGGGCACAGTGACGGGGACTTCCTAGACATACCAAAACAACCCATGGGATTGGTTTACTGGGTTAAAAGGTTTAGGACTATAGTGTCGTCGGACATCTTAGTCAATTGGCATAATGTATTTCATAAAGATAATGTCCTACACCTTTTTTTTTTTAATCTGGGTGAAAGTTTACAGAACTAATTCATTTTCTGTAAAGTACTTCATACACATTTTGTTTCATGACATTGTCTGCAATCCCCCGAATATAACAGCTCTCTACCCATTTCCTCCCTATGGTTACCTTTTCCCTGTGTCCTTCTTTCGTGTGCATTCCTGCCCTCAGAGCTATCTCCTTGTGCAAATGCTGCTCTTCTTTTCTCCCATGATTGATTGTTCCGAGGGGTGTATCTACCTGGTGTAAATATTTACTCTATATGCTTGTCTGTTGTGTGGCTGGAAGCCATGGGAGTGAGTTCGATTCCAAACCTGAAGAGTAACCAGGGACCATAGTCTTGGGGGTCTCACCAGACTTTATCAGATCAGAAAACCTAGTATTTTTTATGATTTTGAGTTTTGTTCCACATTGTTCTCCCACTTTATCTAGGATCCTCCTGTACTGATCCCTTTCTGAGTGGCTGACAGTGGTAGCTGGGCACCATCTAGTTCTTCTGGTCTCATAGTCATATATGCTGAGGTTCACATGGTCTACTAGTTACATCTCATTTTGGTGAGTAACATCTAGGGTCTTAAAAGCTTGTAAGTGGCCATCTAAGATACAACTATTGGTTTTTATTTGTCTGGAGCAAAACAATGAAGGAAACTAAAGACTCAAAAGAAGAAATTAGTGCATAGGATTAATAACCCACATGAACTACAACCTCTTCTAACCTGTGACCAGAAGAACTAGATGGTGCCTGTTAACCACTACCGATTGTTCTGACTAGGCACAGAATAGAAGGTCCCAGACAGAATGGGAGAAAAAAGTAGAGCAAAATTCAAATTTCTAAAAATGGCCAGACCTACTGGACCAATAGAGACTAGAGGAACCCTTGAGACTACTGCCCTAAGCTACTCTTTTAGCTTGTCACTGACGCTGTTCCTGGAGGACATCTTTAAGCCAAATAATAGATTGGCTTATAAAATAAACAGTATCACCCATGAGAATGTGCTGCCTTAAACAATTAACTATATGAGATGAAATGGTCAATATTTACCCAAAAGCAAAGATGAGAAGTCATGGTAGAGAAGGGAAGCTAGATCAAGGGAAACAGAATGGAAATAATGACAATGCTGGTACATTGTAAAAATTGTAACTAGTGGCATGGAACAATTTTTATAACTTTGTTAAATGGGACACACAGAAAAAGTAGTTTTTGATAGTGCCTTACTGTTCATATGAGCTCATTCTAGTTACATGCATTCTTAAGTTTTCAATGTATTATTATTTATTCTAACGTATACAATTTGAAAAACTCATTTTCACCTAAAGAATTAGTTCACAATTTGCTTTTGAGCTAATTGAACAAAACTTTGGTGAGTGGTTACTCTATCTAGTAATGTAAATAATATGAAAAGTAAGTAAGGTAAGGCTCTGGCCTGAGTAAGTTTGTCTCTCAAATAAACCTAATTTAAGATAAGTAGATATATAGCCATGTATAAAACAAATCACAAATGGGGGCACAGTTATGGAGGCTTCCTAGACACATCCAGACAACTTGTAGGATTGGTTTATTGGCTCAAGAACTTTGGGACCACAGTCTTGTGTTGGGAGGGGACAACTTAGTCAGTTGGCATAATGTAGTTCACAAAAATAACATTCTACATCCGAGTTTGGTGAACAGCATCTGAGGTCTTAAATGTTTGCGAGCAGCCATCTAAGATAGAACTATCAGTCTCTACTCATATGAAGCAAAAGCATATGAAGGAAATCAAAGTATCAAAGAAGAAATCAATCTGTAGTACTAAGAGCACACATGATACAAACTCTTCAATCCTGTAACCAGAAGAACTACCAATACCAACTCTTCTGACCAGGGACACTATAGATATCTGTGATGGTTATGTTTGTATGTCAACTTGGCTAGGCCTGGTTGAGTGGCTGGGCAGCTGGATGTAGACCCATGATGAGACTGGTAATCAACTCTATGGTGGAATCTACTGGAAGCAGCTGAGTAGCTGCCTTTGGGTATGTGGTCTGATTCCTGTATATAAGGAGAATCTTTGAGAATGATCTCTAGCCTTTGGCACGCTTGGACCCTGCATGTAGCCATGTCGTTGCTCAGCAGCCTGCTATGCTCTGCCAACCTTGGGACTTACAGTGGATTTAAGTTAATGGCCTGCCATGTAGATTGGTAACATCGGGACTGTACCTTTTTACTTGTCAACCTTGGGGCTTCTCAGCCTCAGCAGCTAGCAGCTGTCTGAGTGAAAAAATTCCTCTAGCTCCAGTGGGCTGGGAGCTGCAGGCAGAGCTGGACCCCAAGGTTGAGGGGCTTTCACCTAGCCCCCAGAGCCTGGCACTTTGAACTTGGACTTAAAGCCTCCAAATTGTAAGAATAAACTCCTGTTTGTTGAAGACATCCCATTTGTGGTATATTCTTGTCAGAGTGGCACTAGGTAACTAGAACAATATCTCAGATGGAATGGAAGAAAAATGGAGAACAAAACTCAAATTCCTTAAAGAAACTAGAGGAACTCTTGGGACTATCTCCCTAAGATAATTTTTTTTTTTTTTAATTGTGATTTGGGTGAAAGTTTACAGAGCAAATTCACTTTCTATACAGCAGCTCATATACACTTTGTCTCATGACATTGACCACAATTCATCACCATGCAACAGCTCTCCTCCCACTTCCTCCCCATAGATACCTCTTCCCTGTGTCCTTCCCTCCCTTGCACTCTTGCCCCCCAAGCTATCTCCCATGATGGATCTCTCCAAAGAGTGTATCCACCTAATGTAAATGTTTAGCTTATATACCTCTTTTGTTTGGCTGGAAGCCACAGGAGTGGGTTCAATTCCAGACCTGAAGGGCAGCTAGGGGCTATAGCTTCAGTGGTTCCATCAGGCTCTATCAGACCAGCAAAACTGGTCCTTTTTTTCTTCTTTGTAATAATTTTGAGTTTTGTTCTACATTGTTCTCCTACTCTATCCAAGATCTCCTACGTAGATCTCCCTCCAAGTGGTTGACAGTGTTAGCCAGGTACCATCTAGTTCTTCTGGTCTCACAGTCATATAAGGTGAGGATCTCATGGTGTACTAGATGCTTGGACTAATTGTTTCTATGTGTCTTTGGTATTCACCCTAAGATAACCTTTGAACACAGAATTAAAGCTATTTCTCTTGGTAACCCTTCAGCCAAATAATAGATTGGTGCTAAAAGGGCAAGGAGGCCACATGTTCTGACCTCCTCTAACCCCACAAGAGGAAGACAGAATCACTATTAGTAGCCCAAGGCCCATTACTGTGAGGCCAGACATGCAGCCTCCCTCCAGCTCTTTCACCAACCCTGACACCAACCGTTCCTACCACAACACTTACCACCTTTCTGCTGGGTTTGATAACTCACTGCAGTGGCCACACAGAACTCACAGATTATGGGGTTTATTAGGGAAGCACCAAGCTACAATTCAAGTTGAGGGAAAATGCTCAGTCTCTCTCCCAGCCGCCATCTTTTACCCAAGTCTCTCTCAGTCTCCCCCAGCAATGCGTGTCTCTTGGTATCTCTTTCTCAGCAGCACATTTTCCTCAGCCAGAGGTCAGAGAGAGTTTTGCCTCTAGGAGGCCTCCTTTTGAGCCCAGCAGAGTGGCCAAACTAACCAATCATAACATCAGAATTCTAAGCACCTGAAAGAGAGCAGGAATCTCCCAGAATATTGCTTTGTGTTGCGCCCAACAGAAATACCCCAGGTGGATAACTTTTACAATCAGGAGCTCCTCAGATGCTCACAGAAAATTCCACCAGAGTTTACAAAGACTTACGGCTAGAAAAGCCATACCAGGTAATTTACTGCACCGCAATTGGCTAACAAAATAAACAGTATCAACGCTAAAGAAGAATGTAGAATCTGCAAAACACCGCATAACGTGGATGAACTTGGAGGACATTATGCTGAGTGAAATAAGTCAGTCGCAAAAGGAAAAATATTGTATTAGTCTGTTATTGTAAAAGTTAAGGAAAGGTTTATATATTGGAGGACATTTTCTTTGTTGGTTACCAGGG